AAGACGTGTATCTGGGAGGCTGTGCAGGCTTCTGTACACCCATTACTGCAACCTGTAAAGACTTTATGATCTGTTAGAACATTATTTGTCTTTTAAATTCCAGGAATTTTTATCTTTCAACACTGGTCTTATCTGGACTGTCTAGGTAAATGCAAACAGTCGTTTTATTTGAGCTTGCATGTGCAATCTTCCAGAACCGCCCAAGAACAAAACAGTAGGAAAGCAGCTGATAGTGCAGGAGATATAAAAATAACTTTGTTTTTGGGACGGACAGATATTGTGTTTTGATTTTGGATATCATTTTTTGAAGCTGTAGTTCAGCTGTGTGATATATTTAAAACCTTTGAGTGAGCTTTACCACATCAGCAGAGGTGGGAAGTAACAAAGTACAAATACTTGAGTAGATTCTGCAGATATCTGTACTTTACTTGAGTATTAATTTTTACTTTTACTCCCTACATTTGAACACAAACATCTGTACTTTCTCCTCCTTACATTCTCAAATCTGACTCGTTACTCGGTTCAACCTCCGTGGATGACGACGTAACAGCAAACGTCTTTATCTTTCCCAGCAGTGACGCTCAACACAGCCCTGCCTGCCTCAGCTGCCTGCCAGAGGCTTTTTAGCTCTGCAGGACTGATGTTCAGACCCAAAAGGGGCCCGTCTTCATTTAGAGAACTTTGAGAACCAGCTTCTGCTGAGGCTCAATAAAAGATTTTGGTAGTCTTGAACAGACGAGTGTTTCCATGTTGGTTATAATGTTTAATGTTGCTGAAATGGAAAACTGTCTTTTCTCTGTAGCAGCGCTGTGTAGCTTCTTAAAGGATGAAAACAATCCTATTTTGTGGGCTTAAAACTTTTTTCGTTTTGCAGCGTTATCAAAAGAAGCTAAAGTCTAATTTTCACTTAAGTAAATTTCTGAACCTGTACTTTTTTACTGTTACTCGAGTAAAGGAGCTGAATCAGTACTTCTACTTTTACCAGAGTCTATTTCTACACAAGTATCTCTACTTAAGTAAAGAATGTGAGCACGTTTGCCATCTCTGCACATCAGATACCATCAAAAGCTCAACACATGGAGGACATTTGTAAAACGTTTGACACAGCGGTTGAAACTCTGACATGTTGCATCAAGTATATCCCAAATTTTACGACTTGCTAATTGCAGCGCTGTAACTCATTTTAAAGTCATGACTGATTTAAAGGCAATTAATTGCTCAGCCCTAGTTTGTGCATGTAAAAAAAATTGTTCATATTATCCAAAGAAATAGCAAAACCAGATGGAGAAATACAACTAGTGCTCCATGCAGTAGACAACAGGGGTTTATTGGATTAATTGTGCTGTATGTTAGGAGTGGACTCATGCACTGATGCTGATATTTGGAACCAATGTGCAGTAAAATCATGGTGTTAAAATGTAAAGTTACCCAAACGCCCAACAGAAAACTTCATTAAAGAACTCCAGCTAGGCCTGAAAGCAAGCCTGTTAGCTACAGACGATGAGTGGTTGACTCTCACTGCATGGGATTGATTTGGTCGTCTCCAGATCTCTAGATGTACTAATTTTTAAAAAAAATGGGAGGAAAAAAAAGCACCAATTCTCTGAATCCAGCTTCCCACAGTTGAAGATTTTTCTTTCTTCTTCTATTACAGTAAATATCTTTGGGTTGTGGACAAAGCAAGACATTTGATGATGTCGTCTCAGCACTTTTCAACAGTTTCCAGCATTTTCTGGCATTTTATAGACCATAAAACTAAATGATCAGTCAAGAAAAAATGTAGCGACAGTGATAATGATGTTTGGCTGCTGCCCTATTTGACACCACTTCTGTCTGCGTGCGATATGTGTTGTGGCTGTTTTTAAATTCATTGTGATAAGTCACTCTGATGCCAACTATGCAGTTTTATTTTGGATTGTGATGAATGAATCATGCATTTGCCAACTCTGCTGCTGCTGGTGTACATGCAGGCCAGGTTGCTTATCAGTGGGCCGGCGTGCTGTAGAGCTGTGGCTGTAGGTGTGGCCTGTACGAGGGCTGGTGCTGACCACGGCCGCTGCCAGAACACACCCACATACACAAACACACAGAGATTCACAGCCTGAGACTTCCTGTAGTTGGACCGAGATCACAGCCTGTTTGCTCTGCTGCTCCCACTTCAGCCTCAGTAATGCAACTAATTCCTCCTCTCGAACAAAAGCCTGGCTCGGCTTCCCCTTTACATTAACCTCCTTTCTGAATAAAGAAGAGTCTCTCCGCCAGAGCCGGTCCGCACAGGGACTAGTGGGAAGTAAAGAGCGTCGGCCTGAAGGATGTTCAAATACTTGAGAGGCGTTATTTTAGCCGGACAGATGAATGATCACAGCTTCACATCTAATGGACAGGCGGTAGTGGTTCACCTGTCTACAACACGAGCAACGAGTTAGCCGTAGCCTTTACAGAGGAGACAAGTGTTTTCAGTGTTTTAGCATTTTCACAGCTTTGTTCGGGTAATGCCTCCTCTCTCTGGATAATCCCAGTTAAACAGCTTAGAGGAAGAGCAGCAAAATCTGCTCACTCCAAGTGTGAGATAGGGTGCATTCACTCTATTGTGTGTTTTGTTAGAAAAAAAAAAAAAAAGCCAAAATGATCCTTCAATCCTATTTCATCCTGATTATAAAAAGACGGCTCACAAGTGAGTTTCCTTGGGGAGCGGCTGCAGTGGGAGACGTGTTTGCGCTGCAGGTCTTGTGTCCAGGTGTCAAACATTTAACAGGAAACACGTTTATCGACGCTGTTACACAGGCTGCCGCTGCTGCTGCTTACTGTATTTATGCTCTTCCTGCAAGCTGTCATAAATTTTGAGGTGTCTATGAGGCATCAGGTCGTACTTCCTCTTCTTTGTGATTGATTGTATCACAAAAGGTGTTGTTAACACTGTGAACTATAAATACAGGCCTTCTATCTTTACACCTGTAAACCAAGGGTCAGAATATGACGAAATAAAGAGAGCTGTGATTTGGTCTGTACTACACTCCTGTGGGCACAGGAGTGTAGTTGTGTTTTTAAAATGTTCGTGTCCACGCCCTCAACATGTTGTGAGCTGTGCTGAAGATGGTATCTCCGTCTGTGCTTTGATTTCTTCTTGCGTGGTTGGACAACAGTACAAAGTGATAAAAACATTTTTTTAAAAAAAGGTTTTGTTTCCTTATGTGGGATTGAAACCAACATTTAATACTGATATTTTAGATCATCATCATCAAAAAGTACGTCCGCGGTTGCTCAACTAATTAACTAAAACTCCAAACTAAAGATTGTGATTAGTAAACAATAGCAACAAAAAACATGAACATACATGAACAAGAAACAAACACATCCACATATTTGCATGAAGGAAGAAAATAAGCTGCTATTTTGAGGCGATTAAAAAGCAGTTGGTCGTACAAATAGCTCGTACTGTAGTTAGAATTATTGCTAATAATAATAAAATAATTTTAAAAAATTAAAAAATATTAATAAACAGTTAAATTAGGTAAACGTAATGGATTAATAAATAGACAAAAGTCTTTTATTACCAGTCAAATTTGATCAAAAGTAATAAAAAATAAATAAATAGTTTTAAACAGTTACAGTCATGAAACATATATAGGAAAGTAGTTTGAAGTAATGAATAGAGAGTTTAAATATTTTTAAAGTAATAAAAAATAAATAAATAGTTGGCTAGTCGTAGTAAAAAAAGATTTAAATCATGTTCAAGTGATCAAAATGAATAGCTAGTCAAAATTAATGAAAAAACTGTTGAAAAAGTTCACTAAATGTTATTTACCAACAGCTAAATTAGCCTGAAGTGGTAATAGAACAGTTGAAATAGCTGGGGAAAAAAAGCTGAAATGATTGGGTAAATGGTGGAAAAAGTGAAAAGAAGAGATAATTAAAATAGCTTTGGTGATGGATAAATGGCTGAAATTGCAAAAAATATTGAAAAATGTCAAAAAAAAATTAAGAAATTTAGAAGAGTAATGAATAAACTGTTAAGATCGGTACCTGAAAGTAATGAAAAATAGTTGAAATGGGCAGTTAGAAGTAACTGGTAGAAGATTAAATAGCTACTTCTTTTTAGCGACTTTTAGACTAACTAATAATAATGTTCGGCCTAAATGGTCCAGTTTCTGCCATCCCACGTCGTCAGGTAATTTTTTATTAACAACTAAACTGCTATACCCTTAAATGACCAGTTTAGGTGTACATCAGGACTTTAGGCGTTCATCAGGGGGGAAAAAAACGGTGGTTTAGATCACAGAGAAAAATCTATTGACCTCCATGTCCCTCCGCCTGCTGGATTCATTCAATACTGGGTTTTTCCTTTCATGTGTCTACGTGGTCGACTCGTTGAACGTTTAATCCCTTTGGCAGACTCACACCGACACTGTTACGGTGCCGCGCATCATCTCTGTGTGCCACCAGCCCCGCCCTCATCACCCACGCTGCCTCCTGTCTGACGGCACCCACAGCGAGACATCAGGTGACCGGTGCAGCTGTGCCCGGCGGGGGGATCTGTGTCAGCTTGTATCATACCCCACAGTGGTGGACGGCCGGCTGACCTGGTTGGAGTGCCGCCTGCTCGACCCGTGGCCCGGCCGTATCCATCAGAGGCGTCGTGGCTCTGCGGGCCTGGCCTCTTCACATCTGGGGTCATAGTTTTTTACAGTTTGGTAAAAGGTGTAATTATTTTATTGTCAGGGAGAAAGAAAATCAGTGGTTTTGGCTGCACTGGTGCTGACAGGTTACTGCTGGCCATCCACTGATGTGAGGTTGGTTTTATGGCTGCAGGTTCATCTGCTTTCCCAGTGCCTGAGTGGGTAGGGTGTTTATCGTTCGACTCCATCTTAACTGTGGCGCTAAAAGTTAATCATTTCTCGCTCTTATCCGGCGCCGTCTCAGTCCTAAAGATCAATACACGAGCACATGTTTGTGTCGCCGAACAATATGATTTCAACTCAGGTGTGGTTTGTGTTTTCCAGAAGCTGGCAGCAGAATGTCAGAGCGCCGGCTACAGTGGCACGCTGATCCCATACAAGTGCGACCTGTCCAACGAGGAGGAGATCCTGTCCATGTTCTCAGCCATCAAGACGCTGCACAAGGGCGTGGACGTCTGCATCAACAACGCTGGACTGGCCCACAACGAACCTCTGCTCAGCGGGAAGACAGAAGGCTGGAGGAACATGATCGACGTGAGTGGATGGCAGACGCGCAAACGATGAAACGCTGAGGCTGACACGATCTGGAGAGGAGCTCGGTGTTTATTTATAAAAGGGGATGCTGGAGATATCCCCCCTTATGTTGTGTTGGTTTTATGATTCTCAAGCGGAGAAGCAGAGGGAGGAGCTGAAACGGTCGCCTGGTGTGAGCGGCAGTCTTGTGTTTGGAGGGCTTGTGTTGTTTAAGGAATAAGAGTTAAAGCAGAACTGTGTGGATGCTCTGCACACACACACACACACACACACACACACACACACACACCAACACACAGCCTCCCTCCCCTCACAGAGGCTGCTTCATTGGCTCTGAGGAGAAGCTCTGGCACGGCCAAGGCCTGCTAATGAAAGCCAGCACTATTTCTCTTGTTGGGACTTTACATTCTGATTCATTGAGCTCTTGACCACTGAAGACCCCCCTGCTCCAAAGTCTCTGTCTCCAGAGTCCAGCATTCGTACCGCTCGCCCATCTGTTGTCATGGCAGCCCCACATGAATGTGTACAGCAGTGTATTTTTAGCCTGTGTTTAATCTGTACGCTGACCTTGTTTGGTCACCTCCCCCTATCTCGCTACCACGCTGGCGTTAACCTGCTGTCTATCAATGTCACTACAGGAGCAGCTTAGAGGCCACAAGCTGGACAGGAACAGCAGGTTCAGATGGTTTAACACACTGACCCGGTGAACATCAGTCAGCTGAAATGATACATCACATGGCATTCCTACATGTGATTTAATAAAACAAAAGCAAGTACTACAAAAGATACCAATTCACTCATTAGTTTTTCCCACAGCTCGAGTTTGGCTGCTTTTCTTAAACTTATTGAGCTGATAAGTAGTTGAACAAAGCTGCTGTCTTTGCCTCCTCTCCAGGTGAATGTCTTGGCCTTGTCCATCTGCACCCGCGAGGCGTACAAATCCATGAAGGAGAGGAATGTGGACGATGGCCACATCATCAATATTAACAGGTAACTTATACAAGGAACCTACAAATCTACGAAAAAATGTATAGATTAATGGGAAAGTACCTCAACCAGTTTGTTCAAGGTGATTTTAATCCAACAGGCTTTAAGCAAAGCCATATGTGAGCCCCACCTGGCTCCTGCTGGATGTGAAACAATTCAAAGAACAGATACACTATGTACACGAGAGACGGAGCAGATGCTGCATATTGATTCAGATGTGCGACTGAAGACAAAAGAATCTCTGAATGTTGTGAGCTAATAGAGACGAAGGATAAAATCCTCCTCAGTTTGTACTGTCCTTTATGTCATGATATCAATCGAATATCAATCATGATCAGAGTTTTGGTCGACCACAATTAAATCAGAAGTCACCAATCACAAGTTTGGTAAATGTGACATTAGAACACATATTCAAAGCAGTTTTTGCTCCACATCTGTCTGAGATGGGCTGCAAGGTGGGGCGGTGGTTAGCACTGTTGCCTCGCAGCTAGAAGGTCGCCGGTTCACGTCCCAGTGAGGACACCCGGGATCTTTCTGCGTGGAGTTTGCATGTTCTCCCCGTGCAGCGTGGGTTCTCTCCGGGTTCTCCGGCTTAATCCCACAGTTCAGAAACATGTTGAGGTTAATTGGTGATTCTAAATTGTCCATAGGTGTGAATGTGAGTGTGCTTGGTTGTCTGTCTCTAAGTGTAGCCCTGTGATAGACTGGTGACCTGTCCAGATGGGATAGACTCCAGCCCCCCACGACCCTAGTGAGGATTAAGGTGTATAGATAATGGATGGATGGATGGTGCATTCTAGTCTACTGATAAGCAGATGTTCAGCAGCTGACTAGTTTTGGATGCAGTTTTATTAATTTTTTTTGCCTCTAAGATGCACTGACTTCAGGTGAAGAACCTTATTTTAGGTCTAATCACAATGCAGGGAATTGAGTGTTAAATGTTAGATGCAATAAAAAAACGTTGTCCTTACAATCATAATCATGATCATAATTTTGGGCATAACTACGCAGTCTAAGTTTTGAGAATGGAGCTTTATTTGAACATGTTTTTACATTTTCTGAATATCTTCTTAAGCACAGGAAAGACAAAAGTAGCACATGATGGATAAACCCTGTCAATATGGATGGTTGACTGTTAAATATGTTCCGGATCAAAGTATTTGTCTTGTCTGGATTTACATATTATATCATGGAGTTTAGGGGGCTGTGTTTGTATATTTATTTGTATAATTTTTATATGACCAGTGTGGAATATCTCCTGGAGCATTATTTATAAGAGGTTCATGTTTTATGGTGCTCTCGCTTAATGTCTAGATGATGATGGTTAATGTGTTTGAATGTTTGGTTTTGTTTGTCTGAAGAACTTAATTTAAAGCAACACAACAGGTAAATCAGACAATAAATGAAATAGTAATTTATAGGACTAATGTGGACTTACATCAAGGTTGAATTAACAAAACAAACAACAGCTCCCGTATCTCTAGCGTCTTTCTCTCTTTCTCTACAGTATGGGGGGACACCGAATGGTGCCGAGCGCTGACGAGCATTTCTACTGTGCCACTAAATATGCTGTGACTGCTCTGACTGAGGGGATACGACAGGAGCTCCGAGAAGCAAACACCCACATCAGAGCCACAGTGAGTGAGCTGTCACCATCGTAGCCGGCTTTGGCTTCTGCTGTTGGGATCACACGAAGTCCATCAGTGTGCAGAACATTTACTGTACTTCCTCAAATAAAAAAAGGAGTCAATTAGAAGCTGGGTGGCTGATTGTAGCCGGGGGCGTGGGCCACACAAACACAGGCTGGGGACAAAACAATAGGCAGCAGCAGGGGGCAAAAAAAACGCAGACACTCTCCAGCAGTCTTTAGTCTGCTCTGGAAGTTACAGCCCTCCACCCTCCTAATCTCATTTTCCAGCCTGTACATCCTTGATTCTTTTCCTTGACGCCTCTCCTCGTGTCCTTGTCCCTGGAGACGTGAGCAGGGACGTGAGGAGAGAGGAGTCAAGGCGACAGACGGTTAACAAAATGAGACACCTTTGCCTCGGCGCTTATGTTAAAGCAGCGTCAGTTCAAATTGACGTGTGGCTCAGCTGTAACACCGGAACATTGTTTTGTTATAACCCACAGCTGTATTTCATTTTCGCTCAGAGCTCCTCCATCAAGCCTCCTCCATCCTCAAGGAACATTTCAGCGAGTGAGACATACTTTGTGACGACACCCACCGTTGATTTCCAGGCAGGAGGACGAAAGACAAAAAAGGATGAAGTCGAAATTAGTAAAATTAAATGAGCATCTGTACCTGTCTGGTCTGAATGCAAGTGTTTCAAAATAAAAGTCAGTCCACTGAAATGTTGGGACTTTTATTCTGAAACATCCCAGAGACTGTAGCGTCCTGTAGGGGCGTGTTGGGGGAGCTCGCTTATGGATGTTAGCGGACATGTTCAGCATGTCCTGTCACGTCATGCTGTGTTTTATTTATGTTCATGTTAGATCAGCAAAGCCGTGACGCCATGAGCGCAGTCGGTTGATCACGATCCTCGTGTTAACAGCATATATAAGGTTATAATCTGCTCATGGGAAAAAGGAAAGCGTGCTGAGAAACCTAAATTTAACCACTGATCTCTTTAAAGCCAGTGTTTCTGCCGTGTGTACTGTTAATGGAGTGAATTTAATGAAGCAATCAGGAACAAATTAAAGCGGCTCTTAATATTTAACTATGATAAATTGTACTCACTTCCCTCTGATAACAGCCTGTCACCCTCTGCTGTTAAGATAAATAAAAGCCCCGGTCACTATTTGAGGAAATATGGTGCAGCCCACACACACAAACAGCCCTGAGGAAAGTCTTCTTTATGTGCGCATGTGTCAGTGTGCGTAAACGCTAAGCAGTGAATCTCTCCTGCTCTGTCCTACCCTGCAGTGTATATCTCCTGGAATCGTGGAGACTGAGTTTGCCTTCCGGCACCACAACAGTGATCCAGAGAAAGCAGCTGCAGTGTACGAGAGTATGAAAGTAAGTCTGTGCATTTAATTAAGAGTCTGTGAATGTGTTTCACACTGTTATGCATCAATAAAACCTCTCTTCTCCGTTGTTCAGTGTTTGAAAGCAGAAGACATAGCCAGTGCAGTCACGTTTGTCCTCAGTGCCCCTCCTCATGTCCAGGTACGTCTCTGTGTCTCTGTAGCTTTTAAGTGCATCAAACATTTCACTCGTGGTTGATTGTTCTGCTCTGATTTGTTCTCGTTGTCAGATTGGAGATGTGCAGATGAGGCCGGTCGAGCAGGTGTCATAGCAGTGAAACAGTGAAGCTGCAGGAGGAGCAGACAGACAGCAGCCATGGTGACTCCTTGGCGACCTCTGCTGGGCAAAGGGGGTGGGGGGTAAAAACAAATCAACTACAGCTGTGTTGGGTCTGCCGGACGTGGCCAAATAGGGCTGGAGCCTTAAGGAGGCTGTGCGAGGAAATGAAGGGCGTGGACTTTGTAAACCACTACAAAAATACTACTGAACGCAGCGAGCTGGCATTTTGTGAATTGTTGGGCTCAGTCCTGCGCTGAGCCGACTCCAAACTACAGTAGGATCAAATAAAGAGCGAGCCGCCGCCGCCGCTGCTGCTGCGCTGTGCGGTCATCTGCACGGCCATCACTTCAGAGGGACGAGTATGCCATTGATTGCACATGTTTTTGTTTTTTTTCTGTTTTTGTAGGTCATATGACATATCTTTTTGAAATTAAATTGAAAGAGTAATTGCTGTTTATAAGAATGACAACTTCTTTTTTTTTTTTTTTGGTTTTATTTTTTAAATAAAGATTTTAGCTTTTGATTCTAGATAGATGTGGTCTCATATGAACTAACTCTAGACAACACCAACTTTAAGTAACCATTAGCGGTCTGTCCATCCTGCCACCTTTACTCACTATGATTTCACATTCAGTTAGCCTTGTTTGGATCTGTGAACCCCGTACGAGGGGGTCAGGGAACGACCCTGGTCTGTTTAAGCACATGGGTTTCTACAATCCACCGTCTTGCCTGTGTCGTTTCAGTTGTTCTGCACTTTGGATTCATTCGTGAGGAGTTACAGGAAAGTAACACTGGCAACTTATGTAGGGGATCGAACTAACTCAACATGTGTACCCTAGGAACGTGTACGGCGAGGCGGGTTTATTTGTGTAGCACAATTTGTACCCGCTTCGTAAGCGCTTCACACAACGACAGATAAAATCAGTCCACAGAACATGAACACAATTATTAATTCCATTAAAAGCAAAGAGGCAGATAAAATCAATCCATATAAACATTAATTAGAAGAGTACAGATAAAACACTTTCAGCCGTCATATGCACAACTAAATAGAACTGTTGTACCCTTCTCTTGGAACTTTCTCATTAAATGAATTAATAAAAACTGTTGCCCAGACGTGAGTTGTGTTTGCGTCGTGTGTGTAGCAGCATGTTGTGGTCAGCTTGTCGTTGCAGAAAAAAGACACGGTGGACTTTGCAGCTTTTTATTACACTTTGACATGACATACAGTTTGCATGACCCAGGATCTGTTAACTATTAGCTTTTTTCATTTTTTTTTTTCAGCAGTGCTCTGTTGCGTTTGACCTAATAAATGAGTCAGCAACAATAAATGTACAGTTTTATATGTTTTTAAGAGGAGTGGTTCAATACAAAAGTATAGTTTTGGACTGTAAATCTTAAATACTGGCAGTACTTTGATATTTTGTTATTAAATCCAAGTACCTGAGCCCATGTTTTAACAGATGTGACCAAAAGATGGCACTCTTAGCCAAGTAAAGTCCGTAGAGGAGAGCCGTGAAATCCCACTCCTGCCATATAGTGAAGATGCACACGGCAGCAACCGATTCTAAACACCGTCTTCCAATTGTTCTATTAGACATGAGCTAAAAAGGTTGTATACGTTCAACAAAATAATCTTACCAATTGAATTCACAGACTCACAAAAATGGCCATCTGGAGTACTCTGCATGGCAGATGTGCAGCAACCCTGACACAATCATGTAAATAATTTGTGTAACATACTTCTGTTCAATCTTCTGAGCAGAAGTTTAGATTGAAGACTAATTGCAAGCTTAACTGTTGATTAACTTTAGCATAATAATGACCTGCCACCGCTGGCGGCACGGCAAGCTTTGTGCAAACATGCTGAGGTGTCAGAACTTAGTCTGGCTTGGAGGTTTTTCAGGTAGCTCAGAGTTGGCGCTGATGACAGCTATTCCTGGATAGTCGCTTGGTCCTCCCCTCTCATAATAGGGCATCTTTGATTTTCCATTCAGTGCGAACGGAGTGATGGACAGCTTCAGCTTCTGCAGGAGAAACGTACCAATAACATTAACACAAAACTTCATTATACAGTCCTCAACAGAAATGAGCACACAACTGTGAAATACTACTTAAAAGTCAAATGATTCAAAATTGTTCCACCTCAGATCACCTCTAAGCTGAGCAGTAGGATGTTTGCTCCGATGTAAAATTTAAAACTTAACAGATTTACTACATTAACAATACAGGT